TCCGGAGCCCGCGCTGGAGTGGGAGGGCGGGGCTGTGGTCACGTTCCGCTGCTGCCTGGCGCTGAGCGACGTGCTCGCCCTCCTCGCCTCCACCCTACTCTCCATAAGCTGGAAGCGACGGGGTGGGAGTAATGACGACTTTACGAGACTGGAGTAGGGCCTAAATGGGGTCCTTGAACGCGCTGGGAAACTGGAGTACATAGGTGCACGTTGATGCTCACTTGTTGACAGTAAACATTTATTGAGCGCCTACTGTGTGTCAGGCATTGGAATGCAAAGACAGACAAGCTACGTCATACCCCACCTCTGTCTTAGAGAAACTCACAATCTAGTTAAAACATTGAGGAGGAAAAAAGAGAGACCTGCGTACAGTGAGTGAGCTAAGGGAGCTACAGGACTCCGGGGAGTTGGGGAAAGCTTCAGAGAAAACGCTGGGTCTTAAAGGAAGGGAAGGCCATTCCAGCTGGGAGAAACTCCCTAGGTAGAACACAGCAATCGTGAGATTTGAAATACAAAAGACAGCTCTGTAAGGCTAAACATAGTAGATGAGAGGAAAAGCAAATAAGTCTAGAAAAAATAAAAGACCAAATTTTGACTTTAAGTAAGTGCCCCCAAAAAGCACAAGTTTGCATGCCATTCTCATTTTAATCTGTAAAATAATGTATAACATTCTTACAAAGATGGTCATACTTAGGAGAAAAAAATGGAGAGAATGGAACAACAGTGTGGGAGAAATGGAATGGCTAAGAACAACTGAAGCTCTTAAGATTTTAAGTGCTCACATATCTCGCAGTTTCTTGATTTGTCTCTTGAAAAATCATCTTTTAGGCACCTACTCATTTACTATCCCCTATCCTAGCAGTAATTCCAGGAATTCTGTATCAGTCTGTTGTGAGCAAGTCATCAGAAGTTTCCTTTCTTGGCTAAAACTGACCAAATTCAGTATTTTCTTAGTCATAAACTGGTAACAAGATTAAAGGGATACATAGTGCCTGAAGGGGCAGTAATTCCTAGTACACAAAGTCACAACTAAAGTCCCACGATACTGTTATAAGCCGAACTGTGTTCCCCCAAAAGTTATGTTAAAGTCCTAACCCCTAGTACTTCAGAATGTAAACTTATTTGGAAATAAGGTTGTTGCAGATGTAGTTAAGATGAGGTGATACCAAACTAGAGTGGACCCTTAGTCCGATGTGACTGGTGTCCTCATAAGAAAAGGAGAGACACACACAGAAAGCTGTGTGACAGTGAAAGCACAGATTGGTAGGATGCATCTACAAACCAAAGAACAGCAAGAATTGCCCGCAAACCAGCGCTGGAAGAGACAAAGGAGGATTCTCCTATAGGTTTCAGAGGGAGCACAGCCCTGCTAACTAACACCTTGGTTTGGGACTTTCAGTTTCCGGAACTGTGAGACAATACATATTTCTTATTTTAGGCCACCTATTTTTGTGGTACAGTAGCCCTAGGAGGCTAACACAAATGTAGATGGAGTGGGAACACCAAGTCAAAGCCGCCTTTCTGTATGTCCACAGAAGACAAAATACTATCTTGTTTTAGTGATAATCTGCTAGCCACACCCTCCCCTTCACCCTCCCCCTCCACCTCACTCTCCTTAAGCTCATCCCACACAAACCCATTGTGTAGAAGTAAGGCTTTATATGACCCCATGGTTGTTTGGGGATTCTTTCCCAATGGGTTTATTTTCACACAAAGAAGCACTGATCAGTGAACCTAAATATCCAGCTCTTGAAACAAAGGGTCCTTAGACTTTGACTAAATATAGTTTTAAATCCTTGCTCGCTCGCTCTCTCTATATATCTATACATACATATATACATATACATATACATATACATATACATATACATATATATATGTATATACACATGCAGTAGAAGACAGTGGCCTGCACCTGATTAATGGTCACATGGTCAGGACCTCTGGCAGGCTAAAAGTAACATATGTTACTAAGTTAGGTTTCATTTCCTGAGCCCTAGGGTGAATGACCTTCTGCTACTTCCCTATGAGACTGGACAGAGGGATGCACTCCAGAAAAGACCTCAGAGCTGTCCTCAAGATCTGAAAAAATGTTTTATCACCCTTACCTCACCTGACCAATCAGCTCCCAGCACAACCCCTAACCCCTAACCCACGGTGACTTGGGATTTTTGCCCTATGTAATCTGTAACCTAAACACCATTGGGGAGTTGGGATTTTAGAAGCATCAGCTCCCCATCTCTGAAGTGGACGATTCAATGTTAAACTATTTGTTTCTTTCTGTACTCCAGACTCCTGCTCGTGCATTTCTTTGGGCAGTGTGTACAGGCAGGCGGACTCCGGGAAAAACTGTGGGGTCCCACTAACACGCTACGCCAGTAGTGAATTGGCATTCCAGCCTTAACCATCATTCAGCGGGCTTGGCTATGTGTGTCAAACCTGTTGGATCGCCTTCGCATCCTGCTAGTCAGAGTCCTGAGAATGTTAACCGTTCTGGAACAAGGTATTGCTACCTCTGGGGTCTGTCGAAGTGACCACCGGCTTTTCCCAGAAAATCTCTGACTTTGCCACAAAGGTGAGCCTACTACTACCTCATTAGATCCTTTTGTAATCTCAAGCTTTAGACCCACCCCCAGGGTCACATAGGTCAACCATTGTGATTTCCACATGGATCGTATGAAATGAGCTGAATTTCAAAAAAAAGAAAAGAAAAAGAAATAAGCTGAATTTATTGAGTATGTGGGATGTAGGCTTAGTGCCAAGTACAAATTAGTAAAAAACAATGTAAAAGAAATTTACAGTTATTTTATTGTCACCAATAGCCCTGGGGAGGACTTCGCTTTCCTCCTGCTCTGAGAAGATGACCATCTCTCTCTGTAGGACTTGACACCTTGGGCGAATTAATCGACTCAATTTGTGCCCCCTGCTCCATTGACTCCAAAAGCATCCTTAATTATCAAGAGAGTTCATCTTTCCCTGGCTAATTATGCCAGCATCACTTAAATGGGTTTATCTAATTACATAATAATACCAGCTATCATGTATTTAACTCTTAAGGTCTTATGTGCAAGTTCTTATTTAATCTTCATTCTATAGAATAGGATTCATATATTTGTTCCAGTTTTAGAAAGGCAGAAGTCAAGCAAGAAAAAAATTTCCCCAGGGCTCATACAGAGAGCAGTAGAGTGGGGACCCAGGCACCCGAGTGCCAGAACCCAACACGGTGAGTTATGGTTTAACAAGCACTTAATTCCAAATACTGAAAATACCAATATTCAGAAGACAGAACACTTGTGGATTTAACTGCAAGAATTACTTTAAAACTTATTCAGAAAATCTTAACAAAGTATGGAGGATTTTGAGCAGGGGGAGTGTTTTTGTTTTTATTTGCTTGTTTGTTTTGCCTAAGAATACAGTCATGTTTAATAAACAGGAATGTGGTACTTAATCAGGCTTCTGATGGTGAATTGAGAACTACCCCCGTCCCCCTCCCCCCACCATAAGGACTAACTGCTAATCTATCTTACTTCTATAAATGAGATATAAGGAGGGGAAAGTGATCTGAGGAACAGTTTTTAAAGTCTTATCTTTGAATCCTGCAAACTTATAAACATGGAGGAAAATCAGAAATAATTTTTAAATGGAAAGGAATTCATCGAGAACAAATTCTTTTCTCATAACTACAAAAAGACTTTGGTTAATGTTTACAGTTTAAAAAGCTCGGCAATTGAAACCAACTTAGTACTTTGCTTTTTTTTTCCTTTAAAGGGCAAGTTTCAAAATAGAGGTGATTTGAAAGAATTAAGTGAACTACCCAGTATTGTTTCCTGACTCTGCCCAGAAGGCAAGGTCCAATTCGGATAATGAAGTTGAAACATGGAATTTCTATAGTATTTGAGACATAATTCAAAGTCACTAAAGATCTAATTGTTAAAATCCTATAAATTGTTGAGATATGCCCATCACTGGAGCCAAAATAATGAGATGGACACACCCAGGTCCTGCAGCTTAGAGAGCAGGACAAATGAGAACCAAATTGCATCATAAAGGACCTTAGGGCCATGGAGGAGGCTCTCTGTAATCTCTGTGCTGCTTTTCTTGTTTTACTGATGAAAAACTAAGGAGAAGTTGGCTGGTCAGAGTGCACTGGTGTTTACAACTAATTTATCACAGCCGATTACAGATTTTCTTATTCCTGCCCCGCTCCCACCGCTTTGCTTGACTGATCTAGAAGAAAATGGGGAAAAAAAAGAATTTAAACAACTTGCCCAAGGTCACATTTCTAATAGCTTGGGCCTCCAACCTAGGAAAACTGGTTTCAGCATTTCTGCAAGTTGTCTCTAAGCTGATCCTCCCTTTGGAAGAGCTGATAATGGGCCTCTTAACAAATGAACACACCAAGTCGCTTGTAATTTCAATTGTTGCTCAGACTCCCTGGCCTTCATTCATTTATGCAATATAATGTCAACGTAAGAAGTGTCCAAAACTGTAGAGAATTTTTATAAGTGTTCATTTGAGCCAAACTGGTGACATATGCCACAGAGCAAGGTCTCAAATGCTCCGGAGAATACAGTTTTGCAGTTCCTTTTATGCATTTGAAATTAAAGAGGGTATGTAAGGAAGGTTACACGAAGGTGGGAGAAAGCGAGGCGAGGGTGGGCTTACAAGCTAGCTCCTGACATTACGTGCTCTCTTCAGAGTTAATACCCACTTCCCCCACTTGAGCAGGTGCTATCTGTGACATTTCAAAGGTGTGTTAACCTAGATACAGGAGGACAATGGGCGGGGCTGGCCTGAAAACCTCTTACTCAAGAAGTTACAGGCCTGGGGCCTGACTACGCACCAGGACCTGCCCAGTTAGGGATTTGTGGTCAGATCACCCTGTGAGGTTACTTTCCATAGAACCCCTTTTACGTCCATAATTATGAATAGTTACAATTTAAGTTACAATTTATTCATGAAGCAGCCGGATGCGGAAAGGAGGTACTTCTTTGGTAAATGTGTGTGTGTGTGTGTGCGTGCGTGTGTGTGCGTGCGTGTGTGTGTGTGCTAAACTCTGGTGTTAGGGAATAAATAAAAATCATGTATAAAGTTAAATAATTCCATTAATTTTGTTAGATATACCAATCAAACTTTGTGATGCTCTTCTAATCGGCTGACTCAAAGGATTATTCTTGATAGTGCTTAAAAAGATTTGTGTAATATGTGATTTAATTGTTTAAATACATGACGAAAAGCCAGATGGTTCATATTTCTTGTTGATGGTCCACTTCTCCATCACTAACCTCCCTCATGAGCAATTCATTCTTTTGACAATAATCAAGGAATGCAAAAGGTGAGGTCAGTGAGAATTAGCATCGCTGCCACCCCAATACGTATCTGATTTCGGAAAGTCCCAGCAAGGGCCCACAGGCCACAGTTTACCTTTAGCAGAACAACAAATAAGCAGGAAAGGATAGAAAGTTTTAGGGTGGGAGTATGGTGCCTTGATTAAGCACCCCAATAAAGATTCCCAAAAATAGTATTTGAAATTGCCTCTTCGTGTGGTGCCCTAGAGATTTTTACACTCAGGATCAATGCGCCTTAGTAAGATTTAGAATGGGTGAGGGGTGTGCTTTTTTCTCGCAAAGTGGAAGAAGGGCGCTTATACAAGTGAAAGGACAAAGGGGACGCTGTGACATTAGGAAGGGTACACGTGGAAGCGGAACATCTAGATGTGCAAGCTCTTGGACACCTTCACATGCACGGGCCTGGCGATTTCCACCTTTCTCATCCTGTGGCTGCTACTCAATAATATTTAAACTCACGCAAACATGCACCACTGTTCATTCAGTGCTTATTACCTGCCACGTGCTAGGTCCTGAGCTAAAGGATGCAGGAGTGGGACAAGTATCTGCCCTGGGTGAGCGCAGCCTGATGAGGAGGCCAACTGAGCACAGCACTAACCCAAGGCCCTGTGTGAGATGCTTAAAGCAGGAGCAAGAACCAGCTCTGCAAGGAGAGGGGGCTAAGCCTGTGAAGGTGGGCGGCAGAGAGGCCTCAGGAAGAAGGAGCAGACCTAGATGATAGGACTTGCCCCGCTGGAGAAGGGTGACCTCCCCAACACGTGGAACACTGGGAATGGTAAGTTTGGGAAACGACCTGCTTGGGGAAGACGGGGTGTGAGATGCACGTGGCCAGAGAGGAGGTGAGCCCCCCACTGCACTCACTGACCTTAACACATCGATTTGTTTGCATATCCCATTATCCACAGGCAAGAGCAGAGAACAGAAGCCTGAGGCAGAGAGAGAGCCGTGGTTCTCCGCCTCGCCTGTCCTGTAGACGGATCTGGGGGAGACTCACACAGACTGCGCCCTCCCATCTCCCCTTCCGCCAGAGACTCTGGAGTGGGGTCCGGGCACCAGGAACTTAAAAAGTGTCCTTGGTGAATCTACTGTGCACGTGGAGTTGAGACGCAGGTGTAGAACAGGCTGGGACAGACCCAGTCAGGGGAAGGTGTTCCTGGCGGCCCACACGGAGAGGCTCTCTGAACTTCAGGGCAGCGTGAGGACAGGGCCTGGAGTAGGAAGTGGGCCACCAAAGGGGACGGCGGTGTCCTTGAGGGCTGCCATTCTCGGTTTTCGTCATTGGTCACCTAGGTCACTTCAAAATAATACAATCAAAGTCTGGCCATCATAGCATTTTATTGTTCATATTGGGTACTCAAAAAGTCTCTTTTCCCAATACAACTAATGTTTATATAGAAACTCCTCCACCTCTGGTAGCTGGTCTTGTAAAGACACATGTGATTTTTATCTGAGCATCTGCCTCTGGTTTCCCAGAAGCTCCCAGCCCTGCAGGAGGATCTGCAGGTGTGGCCAAGTGATAGGGTGCGGGGGAGGCTTAAAGGCCCCAGGGAATCCTGGGTCAGGGCACCTCACTGACAAATCACAAGCACCTCCAGCTCCCAGCTTAGGAAGTAAAATGGTCTGTCAGGTGCTTAACTACTGAGTTATTAATTAATGACTCCAAAAGGGAAAAAAAAAATACCATCTTCTCTGCTGTTTCCATCTAAAACATGAAAATACCTCAGGCAGGACAGCATGGCGACTGCGTGGGCTCCTGGGCACGAGAAAGCTCATGGCCACTCGTGGGCACACTCGACGCCTTCTGGTCAAACAATCCAGGGACACGGGGGTGGGGGGTGGGGTTAATTTGTCAGCTTGATAACAATTACGAACTTCTCCTTAAAACACAAGTTTCTGATTTTGAGTTATCTAGGTTGGTTTCTTGTCACTTCGAGGCTGCAGAGTACTTGTGTCCAGTTTCTTATTTCATAAACATAGAGGAACTGGGGAGAGCAGGACGAACGTACTCACCTCAGACCAGGCACTGCCAGGCATGTGTTAGCACCTGATGGATGGCTCCTGGGTCTGCTGGCCCTTCACGTCGTCTTACTACTATTGGTCCAGTGAAGAGTGTCCCTAATTCCTTCACATTTTTTGATTATTAGTGACCCTTTCCTTTACTTCAAATCCAGTGGTTTTCAACTGAGAGTTACTAGAATCATCGAGCTTTAAGGAAACACAAATGTCCAGGTCTTCACCCAGACCTTCAGGACCTGAACTCACATTAGGGCTGGGTATGCGCACATTTTTAAAATACCTACTGGGGTAATCTAGATAAAAAAATCCTTCCTCATCAATCAAGTTTCCTAGTCCATTCATCGCTCTCTTCCAATTGGGTCAACCTTAATCCCTCAACCCAAATTTGCCCTATAGCCGATGAGCCAGTCTAAATCTTTAAGGACGGCAAATACTAAGCCAAGTGAGAGTTTTTAAATATGATGGAAATTTTAAGTGAGGAAGTTTGCGGTTAACCAAAGACACTGGTTATTCTTTGAAATAATGAAAAGCATGGATTCTTTTTCTTTTACAAATTAAGTTTAATTGATAATTCAGCTTCAGAAATAAAAATAACTTCTAAAATGAGAGTATAAACATGTTTATTAAGTGTTTTAGAGAGTATATCTCCTTTCTTCATTTATTAGCAGATAGTACTGATCCATTCTCTTGCATGAATATTGTAAAGAAATTAAAATCTTAGGTAGATGAGCCACCTGTCCCCATCCTAAAACACAAGTCCCCCTAGTAGCCTCAAAGGCAGAACAATTTCCCGGTTTCCCCCTAATGTTTCTGGCTGGAATATAGCACCTGCTTGAAATAAGGAAGCAGATTTCCTCTAAACATCACCCAAAGTGTTTGGCATCGAACTCAAGGACTCAGGTATTTCATGAATTCGCAAACTACCGATTACTTAATAAAATGAAGCAAATTAAATTTACGAAGATTGAAGGTTCCAAATGGGCCGAAGTAGTAAAAGTATGAAGTTACCAGACAGTAATGAATGGAAAATGACGCATTTCTAGCTGTTGGTGGAACTCTGTGAATAAGTGAGAAAAGACTGTGGGGAACAGGCACATTACTATTTTTCTAGTAACACTTGAACTGCTGTTTGCGACTGTTTTTGTTTGTTTAGAATCCATTTCCTGATCATTAAAGACTCAGATATAAACAGAATTCCTGCTTTATTCTCTACAAGCTGTCGACAATGTGGAAAGACAGAGGGAGGAGCGATCACATAAGGCAGAACAAGCAGAAGAAAGAACATTCCAGAGATCGGATGATGCCGGAAGCGCGCGTGCTGCCCCCTGTGACCGGGCTTCGGGTGAGGACAGGGCAGCACTCCGAGCTCCTGAGGATCAGCATCCAGTCACAGCGGGGACCACACCCCCCAAATGCTGGCAAAAACACGTGGCAACTTCCTACTACACAAAATGAAATCACTCCAAGCAGGTAAAGGCTCTGCAATGCAAGAACTCACCTCGACTGCTGCTGGGACTGCGTCCCTCCCCACCACCTCCTTCCCCTGACCCGGTCACAAAACCAAGGGTGGGCGGCAGGGGTTCCGCCAGTCACCCCTACATCACATGGGCTGCCTAGAGGGTGATAGGGTGCTGCTTTCTGACTTGTCTCCCGTTAGGAACTACTACTGCTGATGCATGTATTTAAAAACAGAGCATTTGTCTACCGTCATCTCTTGAGGACCCATACTAACAAGCTCTAGAAAAAGCACAGAAACCTGGAATCGATACATAACCTTAGAAAACTCGTGGACCTAGTGAGTACACCTTCCTCTCTGGCCATCGGGCTGACTTGCACGTTTCCTGAGGTCTCGGCTTGGGAGGGTGAGTAAGGCGTTGAAACTCACTAACGGGACTGCATAGTGCTGAACAATGAAGAGCTGACTAGAATCTCCATTTAAAAAATGTTAAGTACTGAAGATCTTTCAGGTAGGTAGTCTGTTTCTATTCCCTGGAAGTTCCATCTCACGATATTAAATCCGACTAAAGAGATGATAGTACCATTTTTTACTTAAATATCGCTAATCTTTGGATAAGCAAGAAAGTAAAACACTAAGATCTCAAACATATTTCCCTAGGGATAATCACATAAGCATAATAAATATGAAGAATATTTTTTAAAACATCAAACATTTACCAAATTTTTTTTTTCCCTGGTCTGAACCTTGGGCATTTTGGAATTTCCCATTTTGTACTTTTCTTCCGTCCCTAGGTCCTCCTAATTTCACACTACTCAAGTAATTTGCTTTGTTTTATCAAGGAAACAAACAAAAAACCTGATATCTCGTCGCGTTTAGCTAAAAATTCAGAAATAAGGAAACCTATGTACGAGGCACACTACGTCACACACGGCCGTGTTGCAGAGCTGGCAACCCCCGAGCTGCAAAAACTCCCCTCTCCCTTAGCTTAATAACGCTTGTCCAAGTCTCCGGGAAACGAGCCGCGGCTCCCGCTGGGACCGCGGAGCGGGGCTCACAGGTCGCTCTCGCCGTACAGCGCCGACGAGAAGGCGGCGTAGTCGAGCGCGCCGGGCACGCCGCCCGGGCCGGTGTAGGCGGGCATCCTGCGGATGCAGTACTGCGCCTGGTCCGGCGGCAGCTCCCGCCGCAGCTCCTCCGCCAGGATGTACGGCTGCAAGACACACACAGGGGTCGCTGAGCGCCCGCACAGGGCCCGGGGGCCACCGCGTCAGTGCTCGCACGCGGCTGGCGTTCGAGTTGCATAAAGGAACAGAAGCAGGGAGTCTAATGCACACGGCTCAGTCCGGCCGACAGCCAAGCCGAGTTTACTCGTAAGAGCGTACCTGCAAGGTGATCCAGCAGGAAAGGTAACGTGCTCGTAAAGGCAGTTACCACCGATATTTCTCAAACCAAGCCACAGTGTGAGTGCGAAATAACTGTGATCTAAATTTCCTAGTAGAAACGCTGGTTCACATTACACACTGATGAGAACGCAGGGGTGTTTAACGTAACATAATCGTTGCTGTTTTCTTAAATGTGTGTGATGTGTGCTTTAGAAAATGGAGTCGTTTCCCTACTCAGCTTATCGAAAAACTAGAAACATGTTGCTACTAGAGAAAACCTCTTCTTAAAATAAAATAAAATAGGATAAGTCTGGTAAAACAGACTGGCTGTGAAGAGTCAAAATAAATGAAGAGCAAATATCATACTGTCATTCATAATAGGGTTTAGGAAGTTGGATGAGCCATGGTTTACTGCTCCCTACATCACATGGGCTGCCTTCCTTCCACTCCAACCCCATGATAAAGGATTCTCTGTAAAAGAAACATTCCTGTTTTCATGAGTTTCTCCCGTCCGATGTTGTAAGGTGAGAGCCACGGCCCTGACACATCTCATGTCCCTCCCTCAGCTTAACACAGGGGAAAAGAATTCTATCCCAAATTGAATTTCTACTTACTGAGATATTTTTTGTTTCGGAGACGAGATTTAAAAAATCTGGACTTGCAATTCAACTCCTACTTAATCTCTAGGCTACACGTGATAAAAAGCTTGCCAATTTCTTAAATGGCCAAATGGCTGGATTTAACTTTGCTCAAGTGTCTGGGCGCAAAGTTAGAATCATTGATCTTCGTTCCACATCTGAATTGCATGCTTTCTTCTTTCTGGGCCTTATCTACCAACCCAGGATGTAGAGCGGGCTTGAATCAGCAAAACACAAAATAAAACTACAAAATACACAATCTGGGTTGCTTTCATAAAACTCACCGGGAGGCCCAAGCACACATTTCAGGAGCAGAATGTCTGTGCCTTCCCCGTTCTGCTGTTTACCTGCCGCTTTCTGAATTCGGTGCGATGTGCTACGAGAGGCGCTAAGATCCAAACGGCTTTTACCTGCACCTATTTCTTTTTTTATCAGGACAATGCGGTGGCGTGCTGACCTTATCGGACGCCAGGATCCGGAAGGAGGCGATGACTTGCTCGGCGGTGTCGGTGTCGGCCGTCTCCCGGGTCATGAAGTCGATGAAGGACTGGAAGGTGACCGTGCCCTGTCCGTTGGGGTCCACCAGGGTCATGATGCGTGCGAACTCCGCTTCACCCTGAGGCCGGGTGCAAAGAAACGCTTACTCCCACAGCACGCTCTCTCCCACGTTTCCCTATGGACACCCAAGTCCCTTCGTGAATGAAAATTTAAGTGTTCCTGCGTTTCCCTGCAATCTCTGGAACAAATCCCCTTGCAGGTGACCTAAGTTTACTGCCGCCCGATGACCTCGACAGTTGCTATAGCTTCGAGCCAGAAGCTCCTGAATGTCAGAGTTCCTTGCGCCCTGAGACCCATGTCCCTTCAGGCGTGACCGCGATGGCAGAACGGAGGGAGAGAACGGGGCCTTTTCCAGGTGACGACTGAGGAGAGTTACGTGCCAAATAGAAGGCAGCTCAGAAGATGGCTCCCATGACTTTTATTGTCAAGGTCTGAGCGGAATCAAAGCAGCTCATGTGCAAGACGCGCGTTAGTGGGTGACAGAGGAGTGAGGTGACAGGAACCACCGCCGCCCGCAGGTTTTCCTAGCTGCCTTATTACTAAAAACTTTTTCCTTCTAAAACATTAGCGGAAAAGACACTTTAAAAATCATCGGGCTATTAAAAGCCATTGAAGCGTACCCTTTAAATGGGTGAATTGTATGGTGTGTGAATTATATCTCAATAAAGCTATTAAAAAATCATCAGGAAAGCTTATGTTCTCTTCGCTAGAAAAATATCTGAACAATCACTGAATAAAAATATATGTTCTGGCTTTGTGACATTATTTTTATATAACAGGCAACCTTCAAAAGTATTATCCTATACAATGAAAATGAATTTATCTCAAATGTGCTATGGTCATCTCCTAAAAAACCAAGCTCAATAAAATATCAAATCTTAATAAAATGTCTACTTCCGCCTTACCAAATCATAACCCATGGAAATCAAGCAGGCTCTGAAGTCTTCATGATCCATCAGGCCATTCTTCCTCTGCCAACAAACACAAACGGGGAAGCTGAGAATTAAAGGCAAATGAGCAGCTCTACTTGACCAAGAGGACGAAATCCAGTAAGAGAAGGGACACCTGGAGCTTTGTCAAGGAGACTGTAAAGGTCACCACGGCTTACAGGAAGGCCGGAGCCAACACAGAGATGCTATAAAATGATTTCTTTCTTTTTTAAAATTAAAATAAACATAAGGAAAGTTACGCGGAGGTGGGGACAGCAAGGCAGGGATGGGATAGTTAGCAAGACTGTGTGCTCTCTTGAGGATGGTTACCACTTATTTCAAAGGTGTCAGAATGATTTCTTGAAAAGAAGGGCGAAGGAAGGGTGAACGACAGACCAAAAAGAGACTACACATTCAAGAAAGCAGCAGAGGAAGTAGCCAGTGCCATCAAAAATGACCTAGTCAGGGGCTGACTGCTGCCACCCACTGGTGACAGAGCAAATTGTACGTGTTCTGAGAACTTGCGATGCTCTGATGGCCCAGGCAGTCCTTCCTCACTAATAAACCGGCCCCCAAGACGGCAACATTCCTAGAACTCAAACGACTGGACAGGTGCCCCACAGCTGCTCTCAGGCCCTAGGCCAGGACAGGGTGGCACCTCCGTGCAGCTAATGCAGTGCGGGTCTGCACAGGGCAGCGCGCTAGCAGGCCTAGGGGACAGCAGCCCCCACAGCAGAGAGAAGGCCGGGGCAGGACAGACAGCGGCCCAGATGAGCACATGCTGGCTGGAGATCTGCTGAACGGTCTTGGGAGGACAACAATGGGACAAGAATCAACAGAGGCTTAAACTTTAACACTGGCCAAGCCAATTATTACACGGAGGCTATTTTCCAGTGTTTTCACTCACCCATGAAACAGCTAGTCCCAAAAGCTAACTTCAAAGGTTCTTTATTCTAGGACTGTCTGTTCTCAAACCTACCTGCTCAGCCTTTGGTCACAACCCCACTCCCGCCCCGCCCCCTCGGCAACAGTCTCCGAAGCCACATCCCACCAGGGACACGCCACCCTCCACCGGCGTCCCTCCGTGATCCCTCGACTCTTCTGCCTCCTTCAGTGGAGTCAACTCCCTAAGATCCGGCCTGCTCTATTCTTACTCTCCGGACTCCGTCCTGCCAGCAGTGACCGCTGTGTGGTGACTCCGACAGGTTACGGCCCTGAACTCCAGAACGGCATCCCTCACCGCCCGCCCAGGGCACCTCTTCGCTGCAAAGGCTCCCCGCAATGCAACAGCGCCCCGTCTCTCACGTTCTCCCGGCTCGAAATTTCCAGGTCATTTTTAATCTTTCCCTCTCCCTCAGCCCCCAAATCCCGTTGTTAAAATCTGTCAGATTTCTGTGTCCACCTCGGCTCTGTCCTCGTTCCTTCATTCCCGCCACTTCTCTCCCTCAGCCCAGGAGCTCGGGTTCCGCTCCCCTCGCTCCCCTAGCAGCCTCCAGTCCCACTGGGCCTCTGCTGGCTTCCTCTCCTCCACCGCCCAGCCCATCTCACCCACATCTTCTGCAGCCAGCTCTGACCACTTACGCCTACGCTCCACACCTTCAGGAAGACCCTCAGGCCACAGGCTCTGTGCCCGTCATTCCTGTCTTTCCTATTTAAGGACAAGAGGGAGCGGCTGGTCATAGCCCTGACACCTCTCCCCACGACTTCCAGGAAACTCTGTTTCTCTCCAACACACATAATCCTTAACGCTTAATTTACACAGATATTTAAACTTGGCAGGTTCTGGGTTTGTGTCCTTTAGACTTTTGTTGCAAAAGATAGTCTCACACTGTTGGCCTCAAATAGATGTGTGCTCTTCCTGTGAGGTGGCCCAATGAGCGAGAGCTGTCCAACACGCCCAGATGGGTTGGTGCAGGAACGAGGACCAGTTAGTTCCCTCCACAGGAAAAAAACGACCTGTACATCAGTGAATGAAGTCAGGACAGAATTATAGCTGTTTCTGTACAACGAAGCTGAAGCCAGGCCAACCTCCACTTCAGTCTCTGCATACAGTTCTTTATTTATGCCTCAGCTCCCTGATCAGAAGTCTGCTGTTTGAGCTCTTTAGTGGGCCTAAATCTGGCTGGCCCAGCCCAGAGACATCTTAAGAACCAATTACTGATATTTGTGAATCATAACCAGGGTCCTAAACAATGTAATGGAATATCCTTTTTTAGGGATCTTTAACGAATAGAATGCGGCCTTTATGATAAGCAAATTGGGGATGTGATTGTTAATAATTGGTTTACTCGGCATTATTCAAATCAAAACACTAGATAATTTTTTACGGCAGCACTTAACTTTTTATATGCCTTGACTATGAAAATGACCACCGTTTTGTTGGTTCGTTTTCCTTAAAACATTTCAAGAGTCGGTTTTGTTCATTAAAAAAGAAAACTAAGTTTTACATGTTGAAAGAGTGATTAAATTTCCATCAGGTACTTAACCTAAATAGTTACTTAGGAAAAGTACATCAGAGGTTTGTATTTAAGTATTTAGAAAATGACCTAAATCCAACAACCACACGTTAAGGGTACGCTTTCACTTAGAATAAATCTAGCTTTGCTACCAACTACAAAGGTATTCATTAAGTCAGCTGGACAAAACAGCACACAGTCCTAGACTTCCTGCCACCCTGAGCAATGTCGGAGCTGAGTGCACTTCACCTTGGAGGCTATTTTCCTTTGGCATTAATCATCACGCGCCCCTGTGACCTTCGCGGGGCATTAAGACTTAAAATGATAGCACGACTATTACTCCAAACATACTTGAATGTCCCCACTATTGCCTTTCAAACAATCGGAGGGGGCGGTACCCGGTCGAAGTGGTTGAAGGAGGCCCTGAACTCGTTCATCTGCTCCTGGGTGATGCCCTTGGCGTCCCTGGTCAAGATCTGCGTCTCCACCTCGTTGATGGTCCTGGCGATGGTTGTCAGCAGCAGCTCCCATCCAACCCGAATGTGCTGCCAGGAAAATGGAATGATCAGCTCCATGTGCTTCCGGCACGCCACCCCGATCGGCTCCACATGCTTCCGGCACGCCACCCCTGCCTCCTGTGTTCCTAGCCGGAGAATCCACCCAGCGGATAACGAGCAGAGCTTACCACAGACCTCCCTGTGCTTTTTCATCCCACTTCCCCACTTTCTGCAGGATTCTGGAGTGGGAAATGCTCAGAAGTGAGACCAGGGTTCTTTGTACTGGCACTTTGTACGTAAGATATAAAATGTGCAGTCTGTCACTGGAAATATCTTTCTATCTGTAGTTGTCTGGGGAGGTCATAATCTGTATGTAACAGGAGAGGCCGTGGATTACAACCACTGGCTTCTAGAGAGATCGAACTGAGCCAGACTGTAGTTGACAGTCCAATCTCTGGCGCACTTTCTGAGACAGCGCAGTGAGGTCTCTGTTACAGCAACAATTACGTAGTGCTTGATACAGTTCATAAAGCCTTTTCACATGGCGACAGGAAAGGCTTAAGGATCCCTACCCTTCATACTTGGAGAATTTAATGGGGACAGAGAGAGACAAGTACGGGAAAAGCCCTGAGAAGGAGAGATGGTCACAAATGGGGACAGCAGTGCAGGTGTGCGGGGCGGCCACACCTCCATGGTGTAGTTCGTGTGCTTGTTGTCGAAGACCAGGGCCTCCTGGATGAGCTGGTGGTCGCCCTCCAGCTTGTCGATGTTGTTCTTGTAGTTGATGATGTTGTGCTCGTACTGCTTCAGCTGGTTCATCTGGTCTTCCAGGGCCCCTGAGATCTGGATGGAGCTCCGGGCGATCTCCTGAGGCACGAGAGCAGGGGAGGGAAACAGGTGAGTGGGATCGGCCTCATCCTGAGTCAGGGGCTGCGCCCGCGGCAGCCGCCATGGACGACGTGCTCTGATGAAGTGGGAGCCAGGCGGCGCCACAGAACGAGACCAGCTCTAGTTCTGTTCAATCCAGAGAAAGGGGGAAAAATCGACTGTGACCAAAAAAGGCACAGCAAGAGGGTAAGACATGAGTCACTTAGGCCTCCTTCCGGGGAAGGCGGGGTCCCCCTGGGCAGCCTGAGGCCGCGATGAGGTGCTCTGGAGCTACCGCAGGACCGATCTGCGACGACGGACACGCCGCAGGGGTCAGCAGAGTTCCTGACAGTGTTAGATGCTTTCTTTCAGAAAGGAGTTAACATCTTATCACCAAAAGGGGTGCTGGGAGAAGGCGAGTGTGCCTCCGTCGCTCGGCTGTTCTTTCTTGGTGATAAAATGAGCCCAGAAATCAGCCTCATTCAAAAACTATTTTCCCATCCACGGCCATACCACCCTGAATGTGCCTGATCCCGTCTGGTGCTGGCTGCTAAGCAGGGTCGGGCCTGGTTAGTACTTGGATGGGAGACCACTTAGGAAGACCAGGTGCTGTAGGCTTAAAAAATAAGGGATTGTAAGCTGACAAGGTCCTTGCAATCGGTGAGGTCAAACAAGGGCTGCCTCACCTAAAATACAATAAAATAACAAAAATCATTTTTCCTTAAATGTTCTGAAAATGCAAAGAATTTGTGACTCTTCACTTGTCCTCCTTAGGGGTGGATGGTTTAAAATCTAGGTCTTACAGAGGCAACCGACGGAGAAAAAGCCTGTCGCCGTTTTTAATGACAAAAAGAACTGATGGCATCCAGGCCAGCCTCGCCCCCCGAGTGCGCCTCACACGCAGGGCACGGCCAGGAGCTGCGGCACGGGGGGCATCCCTGCTGCGTCCGCTCAGGGACCGTTCCGAAGCTGTGAGAGACTCTCTGGGGGCGCTGACCTACCTCCATCTTGGTCTGGATCCAGGGCCCGATGGCGTTGGCCTGGGCGGCAAACTGGCGCCGCAGGCGCTCGTTGGCGTGCTGGCGGGCCAGCTCCTCCTGCAGCGACTGGTCCCGGATGGGCACGAGCTGCTTCACCTGTCAGGGCCCAAGGGAGGGCGGGGTCAGAGGCCAGCTTCGGCCCAGTGCCAGTGACCAAGAGATGAAGTGATAGTCCTAGGGGTGGGGGTGGGAGCGGAGAGCGAGGGGAGGGGGAGGGGAAGGGGAAGACAGGACGTCCCCACTCTAGGAGCAAAGGGAGAGCTCATTCTTGCTTTGACGACCACCCTGTGCCACCGAGGGCCTGCTTAAGGCTGGGTTAAGTCTGCATGAGGGACCTGGCCTGGGTAGGTCGCATAAGGGACAGTGAGTGACAGTTCCTCCAGCCAGGGGCTCTCGGCTGTAGCACTAACCCCACCAGGCCGTGTCCAGAGTGCAGAGGATTTGTAAACTTGAACTAGAGAAAACTGACATCTTTACTTTCACCGTCTCTAACTGAAAGTTAGTACTTCCTTCGATTATGAACGTGGGCAGCAAATCTATGGAGTAATTAGCAGTACTGAGACTTTATCACAATAGAAACCACAGATGTTCTCATATAACACTAGTGATTGCTTGTTGCTCAAAATGTCACTACTTAGGAATTATTAGACCTGCTGTTAGATCTCAGTTTAAATGCTTTAGTGAAGAAGCACGTACATTAACTACATCCCAACTTAAAAAAATATTTTAATAACTGTATTTTAATATCATTTCTTTCTGTAGTAACCTTAAATATTTATATGAATTCACAAATGTTCTCAGAAGGGATCCACAGGCTTCCCCAGACTGCGAAAGGGGTCCAAGACACAGAGAAGCTAAGGACCCCTGCTGCCCTGTGTGATGCTGGAGCTCTGGAAGGCACTGCACCTGGCCCTCGCGTCTTCCATTCCATTTGAGCCCTGTGATTTGCATTTTAATGCCATCCCTGGTTCTCCTTCAATCAACAGACAAAAGAGCTATTGCTGCTGAAGACAATATCATTCAACCTCCCTTTTATAGAAATATCATTCAACCTCCCTTTTCTAGAAATCCACTTGGCCAATTTGCTTTATAACTTAGTGAGGGGAGAAAAGAGTTTGTCTCACTTTAAGGACATATATCTCTTTTTTCCAAGGAAACTATCTAGCTGAACACATTCCCTTTTCACCTGGCCATGAAAAGACCAGAGCTGAGCTTAACGCTCCAGGACGCCATTACTACTGTCCATTGTCCATCGATGGACACTCTCCCTCCCACGCCTGCTCTTCTTTTTCTGCATTGCTTGTAACTAAACGATTGTTGCATGAGGGTTTTTACAGCAAGCCGCCTCACATTCATATGGGACTTATTCCTGAAAGACTACTTAGCATATGAGATGACTCTGCTATAGTGCGAACCACGAAAATAAATTTTTCCTAAGAATGAGGCTCAGATGATCCCATTTGACTATCGTTGAATTTGAGGGTAGTTTCCCACAATTCAAAAAGCAGCGAGTTAGGAGGAGGACTCGAGTTCCCCAGATAGGGTTTCCTAAGAAATTTCTGCACTGAAAATTCACATGTACTTGGGACATGTCTATCCCACATTCTAAAACTTCTTCCATGAAGGATATACGCAAGCTGATTCCGCTACATTTTCACTCTGGGTTTTAAAAATAGTTTCCCGTATGGTATTAGTTATCATAACCTGTACTGATTTTGCCAACATTTATCAAATTTTCCTTACAGAAAATCATCTCTGCTTTGTTTCCTTACAAACCACAGACGCTGCTGAATGGCATTTAAGAGTTTAAAATGTTTCATCTGTAAAATCTGGGTGAATGAAAACCATGATCGTGATGTAAAATCAGGCAGTCACTCTAACTCGCCCAGGTTTTTACCATATTTTAACCTCGGCTTCAAGGAGGCCCTGCTCCCACACCCGACCCTCTGTCACCCACCTTGTCCCACTTGGCCCGGAGTTCGTCCATGGTGACAGTGCTGTAAGGGTTGCTGGAGCTGATCCTGATGCTGTAGCTCTGAATCACCTTCTCCACCTCGTTCTGGATGGCCAGGATGGACTGCCGCTCGCCGTCCGCCTCGGGCAGCGTGGCCTTGAACTGCTCGTGCGCAGTGATCAAACTCTGACCAGAGACACAAGCGGGAAAAGCCGGTCTTACGTCAGCGTGAATCTTAGAGGCGTCCGTGCTCCCGTCTGCACACGCATGAACGCCTTGTGCAGCTGCAGGAATCTCTGGAGGAAAACAAATTCTGATGGTCTGAGAAAGGCTGTTTGGTACACAAAAGTCAAGGTCCTTGAAATGAAGAAAAGACATCACGATGACCGTAAATCCGAAGTCTTCAAAAAGCCATGTTGTCTTTTTTCAAAACATCACGTTTGCTTTCATTATTTTTGGTCCCCAGCTATCGCTCAGGCCTCACTCTCCGCTGAGGATCAGGGCTCGACCTCGCTGTGCTTTCTAACGTGAGTTTTAAGCCCAGCAAAGGGACCTGACGTTTGCGACCTTCGTACCTGAAGTCTGCCAGTGAGTACCCGCTGCTCCTCAGAGCGAAAAGG